GCAAAGTCCGAATCCACATAACCAATTGAGAACTTATCAATTTCTCCATTATTCCCTTCAAAACAAATTCCTATATTTCTTGTTCCATGAAGATATCGTAGTATCCATTTAGCAGCATCCCAATGCATTTTTCCAGGATTATGCATAAACCTACTAACCATTCCAACTACATGAGCAATATCAGGCCGAGTACATACCATAGCGTACATCAATCCTCCAATCAAACTGGAGTACGGAACATCTTTCATCTTGGCTTTTTCTTCATCACTTTTAGGACATAGTTGAGCACTCAATTTGAAATGAGGAGCAAGAGGTGTACTCACAGGTTTGGTTTCCCCTTTAATGCCAAACTTGTGTAGTAGTTTTTCCAAGTATTGTTTCTGCGACAAATACACCATTCTCTCCTTCCTGTTTCGTGTGATTTCCATCCCCAAAATCTTTCTTGCTTCACCGAGATCTTTCATCTCAAACTCTCTATGCATCTGAGCTTTAAGCTTTCTAATTTCGGTGATGTCACTTGAGGCAATAAGCATGTCATCTACATAAATTAATAAGTAGACATATGTACCTCCACTTAATTTCTTGTGATACACGCAATGATCGTAATGACTTCTAGTATAGTCTTGATCCTTCATAAACTTATCAAACCTCAAATACCATTGCCTTGGTGACTGCTTTAAACTATATAGTGACTTGTGGAGCTTGCAAACTAGCCCCTCCTTTCCTTTTTCTTCATAGCATTCAGGTTGCCTTATGTAAATCTCTTCAGACAAATTTCCATGTAAAAAAGCAGTTTTTACGTCCAACTGAACTAACTTGAGATCAAACTGCGCCACTAGTGCAAGTAGAATTCGGATGGATGAGTGTTTCACTACGGGAGAAAAGATTTCGTTATAATCTATTCCTTCCTTCTGAGCATAACCTTTAGCCACTAGTCTGGCTTTGAACCTCACCGGACTTACATCATCTATTCCATCTTTCTTTGCACATACCCACTTGCATCCAATAGCCTTTCTTCCTTTAGGCAACTCCACCACTTCCCAGGTTTTATTCTTCATGAGTGACAACATCTCGTCATCCATAGCTTCATGCCAGTGCTTTGCTTCTCCACTCCTCGTTGCTTCAGTAAAACTTGTAGGGATATCGATTTCAATTACTGGTAATGCGTATGCCATGCATGCAACACAATCTTTTAATCTGGCAGGGAGCACAATCTCTCTTTTTTCCTTTCCTCTTAGCAACGCATTCTTCTCGAACATCATCATTAACGACTTCTTCATCTTGTCTCCTTTCTTGGTTGACATAATCTTCTTCTTCACTGTGAACATCATCCTCGGTACTTGTTTTTCCAGAACTATTGGATGATAGCTCCACCTCATGGACACCCTTCCTTTCTTCGCTGAGTTTCATATGGGATTCATTAAACGTCACATCTTTGCTCACTACTACCTTCTTGAATTCTATGCTCCACAACCTGAATCCCTTGACACCATTGTTGAACCCCAAAAAGATAGCTTTTCTTGCTCTTGGATCCAATTTGTTTTCCTTCACGTGGTAGTAAGCATCGCACCGAAAGACCCTTAGTCTTTCATAGTCTTGAGCTACTTTTCCTGACCATAATTTTATTGGAGTCTTACCACTTAGAGTTGTAGAAGGTAGACGATTCAAAATATGGCATGCATAATTTAATGCCTCTGCCTAAAATCTTTTATGCAATTTTGCTTGTGAAAGCATACATCTCACCTTTTCCAACAATGTTCGATTCAACTGTTCTGCAATTCCATTTTGTTGTGGTGTTTCTCTAACACTAAAATGACGAGTAATACCTTCCTTTTTGCATATCTCGAAGAAGGGATCAGAAATATACTCCCCGCCATTATCACTTCTTAAGACTTTCAACTTCTTGCACAGTCTTCTTTTCAACCATATTTTTCCATTCCAAGAATTTTTTTTTTTTTTTTTGGGTGAAAACCAAGGTATCCCCCGCGCGATTGCGGGGACTAACCCTCGAGGTACTGTCGGGCGCAAAGCGGGGACCTCTCCCAACAAAGTCTGCTCTATTCGCAAGCGCCTGGGATCGAACCCAGGACCTCTTGTTTAAAGGATCCAAGCCCCTTCCACTTGGACCAACTCCTGTTGGTCCAAGAAAATATTAAATACCTCATGTTTGTGCTTCATCATATAAATCCATGATCTTCGTGAGTAATCATCAATGAAGGACACAAACCATCTCTTCCCTCCTAGAGATTCATTCTTTGCAGGTCCCCGGACATCCGAGTGTACATAATCCAATATCCCCTCAGTTTGATGGATTGCAGTGCCAAATTGTACCTTTGTTTGCTTGCCAAGAACGCATTGTTCACAAAAAACTATTTTTCCACTTTTGGCTCCCTTGAGAACCCCTTGTTTAATCAACCCTTGCAGCGCTTTGTTTCCCACATGCCCCAACCTCATATGCCATAGAGAAGATGTATCAGCTTGATTACCTTCTACCACCATAGCCACCTGTTTTTCAATGGTTTTGCCCTCCAACAAGTAAAGCAAACCTCTTCTAGGGGCCTTCATCATCACTAATGCCCCTCTAGCTACCTTAAGCATATTCTTATCATAATAAAACTTGCAACCCTGAGATTCAAGGGTGCCTAAAGAAATTAAATTCTTCTTGAGGTTTAGAACATATCTTACTCCTTGTAACTCTTGAATTACACCATCATGATGCTTAATCATAACGTTGCCAATCCCTTGTGTTGAACATGGATTATCGTCACCCATATACACAGTTCCAGTGAGACTTTTGAAAGATGAAAACCAATGACGTTGGGAAGTCATATGATGAGTGCATCCAGTGTCAAGCACCCATTGATTCACGTAGTCTATGCTTTCCGCTGCTATTAAAGCACAAACAAAATCCTCATCATTGACTTCAACAACGTTTGCCTCTGAATCTTCATGTTTCTTTTCCTTGTTTTTAGCCTTGATTTTAGGGCAATCCTTCTTCCAGTGCCCTTTCTCATGGCAAAAGGCGCACTCACCCTTATCCAAGAATTTCCTGTTACTTGAGCTTCCTCTTGTGCTAGACTCGCTCTTCTTCCTATCTGCAGACTTTCTTTCCTCTGATCTTCCTCTCACCATTAATGCTTCAGAATTGTTCCTCTCTTGTCTATCAAGATTTAGAACTTCATGATTCATTATAGCACTTGAGATCTCATCAAATTTAAGAGTTTCTCTACCATAAATCCATGTCGTAACAAATGATTCATAGGATTCAGACAAAGAATTCATCAAGATCAAAGCTTTGTCTTCATCCTTGATCGTCTCCTCTAAGTTCAACAATTCAACAATCATCTTGTTAAACTCTTCGAGATGATCCATCATCTTTGTTCCTTCCTTATACTGGAAACGATAAAGCTTACTATTAAGGTAAAGCCTATTTTCTGCACTTTTTTTCAAATACTTGGCCGATGAAATATTCATGACACCATACTTTTGTGTCTTGCCAAGACATAACCGAATCGTGGAGCATGCATACGCATTTAGACACTGCCATTCCTCCTTCTTCATTGACATAGGCATATCTCCAAGCACAACAAGTAGTCCTTGTTGTATCAGCACATCCTTAACTTCACACTGCCACATGGCGAAGTTATTGGTCCCGACGAACTTCTCGATTTCGAACCTAGCACTTTGCACCGAGGTTTTGGTTACCTCAGTGCCCCCTCATCTCCACTCTTGCTGAGGTCTTCAGATTTTGTCATTGTTTTGGCTTAATCACAAAACCAGGCTCTTGATACCACTTGTTGGATCACAACAAGATGATTAAACCAAGAACAACCACACAAGTTTGAACAATCGGAAGCTAACTTTATTAATGAACAAAGTCTTTACAAAAGAACTCGCTTAATCTTCTCAAGAGTTCTCCTGCCTTACAAGTCTCTTCTCATTCGCACACTATACACAATAAGGCTTACCTATATATATACTAGATAACCTAACCATAGAACTAATCCTAAACTAAGTTAGGAATCCCGAAACCAACTGGAAACTTGCGTCCAAGTTTCCTATACAAAATACAACTCGGATTCCTATCTTAGTTAGGAATACAAACCTGATTTCATACCAATTCCAACACAAAGTGGACAACCACGTGCTATGAATGCTTCACTTTTCAAGGTTATGCATAGACGATAAACAAACCCCTGGAAGTTACCAATTCCAACACAAATTTTTCAGGAGAGGGGCAACATTTAATAGACTAAATGCTCAACAAAAAAAAAGTATTTAGATATCAATTATCCTTAAAATTTAACCTTCTGAACTTGAATTATTTTAAAAAAGAATATATAAAAAGATATGTTACTCATCTATTTAACACTACATGAAGATGACATAACAATTAAAAATACCAAAAAAATAAAAATGGCCTATTAATAAATATTAAATATACTATTAAGTGGACATGAAAAACTGTAACCTATTTTAATAGTGAATTCCAGAGCCTTTTCTCAGACCAAACAAAAACCTATTAATAAATGTTAGATATGTTCTTATGCATATTTATAAGTTATTGAAGGCCCATCTTTTTGGGCTTTACCACCAAAACACATGTTTGCTTTCGGAGAATTCAGGCTTAAATGAAACGATGTGTTTCATTAAAAGAGATCAAAGAAAGAGAACGGTGTCGTTCTAGAACAATAAATTAGGTTTGGTCTTCTTCTTCGCGAAAACCTGAGCCCTAGACTCCATAGCCACTGGCTGGCTGCGCCTTTTTGCGTCTTACACTCTAAGGAATTTTCTGGTGAGGGGAGGTGCAGCTGCACCTCCCTGCGCCTCTGTGGGTCCGCCACTTGTGGGGTCAAAGCCACCAATTTCCCAATTGATTAGCCAAAGCCGAGAGGTTCGGCTCATTAAACTGCCCCTAAAACCCCAACCCTACACTCTCTAATCCTCCCGCCCTCTCTCTCAGACATCAGTGGCAAGATCGCAGCTTAAGGAGAACTTGGGGTTTTACCAGATGGATTGCGAGTCCCTCTGGTCACAAATTAAACGCCAAGAGAAGCAGATACAGCTCAAAAGGAGGTCATTCAAATTTTTTTTTCTTCTCCTTTTTGCTTACCAATTTTTCATTAATGAGTTCCTGAATCATGATTGTGTGTGAATTATAACAATTTCGCTCTTCTTTTTGTTCCCAATTTTATTTTGATTGTTTTGAGGGTGATGTTAACGTTATGTTATTGATTGATTAATTCTTTTATTTAATTTTCTGTGACGTGTTGATGAAATCCGTGCAGGTGGTTGTTGGGGCTTCCTACTTCCAAATCTGAGCAGAAGAAGTTGGAGAGGTGTGACTTCTTGAACAACACGTGTTTGCCGGAATCGTTTCTTAGGGAAGACGATGTAAGTTAATATCTCATCTCCGTTAACGTGTTCGATTTGAAAGAAGATTTTATGTAATTCATGCATTTCATAGCCATGGAATATGAATATTTTGGGTTATCAACAATTTAGGAATCTAGAAATGTCGCATTGTCTCAAGTTTTAAAGTTTGGATGGCAATCTCAGTTGAACCTTAAAAATGCCATATGCTCTTTTTCTTTAATGATGTAAATTATCACATTGATGATAATCAGAATTGCGCATGGAAGTGCGTGCAAAGTGGACAACACTTGGTATGAATGCTTCACTTTTCAAGGTTATGCATAGACGATAAAGAAACCCCTGGAAGTTACCCACTGAAGCTATGCATATACAACTATCTTCTTTATTTTTGAGTTTCCTTTAAAAGCTGGAGCTTCTTATCAAAAGAAAATAAGTTTGAGCTTGATCCCAATCCCGGCCCTCAGGTGGTGAGGGCCCCAAAATTTTGGTCGATATTTATCTATCTTCCTTCGTATTATATTTATATTATAAGCGAAAGCTCTATTTGCAGCGCAGATGGTGATTCTGCTTATTTTTTAGAAACGGGGCTCGTGTTTAAGTCTTATCAATGACATGTTGGCTGGTTTTTCATTTTTTGAGGAATTATTGTTAGCAGCCAAACCGTTTCTCTTGCCATCTATAACTAGATGCTCCCGGTTGTCAATTGTCAGAGGAGCCTTTCTGCTTGGATGAAGCAGCAAGGTCTTTGAAACCAAAGAATGATTACATGTAAGCATGGATAATTGTGAGTCATGATTTCACATTATCATTTGCCCGTTCTAGGCATTTCATTTTTTATTGGCTTATTATCACAAAACATCCCTGACGTTTGCGAAACTGTCACATTACATCCTTAAAGTTTTTTTGTATCACTCATGGTCCCTAACGTTAATATAGGTGCTCTTAAATAGTCCCTTCGTAAAAAAAAACTGTTAAATCCAGGGATATAATCGTCAAATCAATCCAGAAAGAGGGATTATATCCCTGGATTTAACAGTTTTTTTGACGGAGGGACTATTTAAGAGCACCTATATTAACATTAGGGACCATGAGTGATACAAAAAAACTTTAAGGATGCAATGTGATAGTTTCGCAAACGTCAGGGACATTTTGAGATAATAAGCCTTTTTTATTAGCAAGTTCTCAAATGTGAAGTTCAGTTTTTCTTGTGCTCGTTTGGTGTAAAAGGAAAAATTAACCATATTATAGGATTGTGAGCATTTTTGCTTACCACTTTAACCATAGGTGTACCCTCACCACCATCCTCAATGCTTGACACGTGTCCATAGACATAATCATAGTTAACTTTTGCTTTGTATTTATGGAATCATGATTATATATATGGACACGTGTCAAGCATTGAGGATGGTGGTGAGGGTACACCTATGGTTAAAGTGGTGAGCAAAAATGCTCCCTTATAGGATTTTGTCCCTTATTGAAAAAGTTTTCACTAATGTAATCAATTGAGTAGTGGTGACTGTGTTTGCAAGTTCCTTTATGACTTTTTTGTTTTTACTTTGATTAGCTTAGGGATAAATGCTTGAATGGTAGAGCTAGTTTTGATACGTTAGAGTTGAGCTAGATGTCTATCTATTATGCGTGCTGTCATTTTATTTTTAGAACTTTAATGCTTTTCATCATGTAGTAGGAAGAGAAAAGTATATAGGGGCATCTGGACCATAGAATCAATACAGTGACACATTTAAATAGTCTTAAGCATAATACCTATAATTTCAAAGTAATAATTTTGCTCGGAATTGTAATAGAGAATTCAGTATGCTATGCATCAGTACTTTATACTTTCATTCTTCAACAAATTAACATGCATGCTTAATATGATTTGGTTCGACACAGTCAACTGGTTGCATTAAGGTACTACTAAAATTTGGTTAAGCAGTTTTGGTTTGATATATTATATATTATATGTGTATACATACATATATACATATATATATATATATATATATATATATATATATATATATATATATATATATTGGTGTTTTTAACAAAAGCACTGCTGATTAAGTGTTTCATAAAGAAGCATTCCCAGGCAGGATCTTAGTTGTCTTCTGTGTTTCTTCTGCCATGCTTGTGTTGCTCTCGCATCATGCTGAAACTGTTTGATTAAAATATATTTTCTTGAATATAGTAATGATCAACTCAAAATATCTGTCTTGCAGATGTTCTATGAGACTGTAAAATCTTCTGTTGACACAGCTTTTGGAGCATGTGATATTGAAGGAGGGAATCGAGTATTTCAAGATGATATGAACTTGCTTGACGCACCCTATGTATCCGGAGCCTTGTCATCATGCCTTGATGATTTGACTAACAAGGGTCTTTACCTTTTTGCTGTTATACTAACAGGACGCTCAGTGAAGTTTGAGAAAACTCGTTGGAAGATGAAAAGGGTTATCAGAGAATTTCTTCCAAAAGTTTTTGGAAGACAGGATAATCATGATGATAAAATGGAAATATCTAAACAGATATCTCAACTTCTCAATGACCCACAATATTTCCAGGATAATTTTATCACATTTTCGTCCTCCAGATTACAATCTCATCATGCTGCTGTTAGAAAGGTGCTGGATGGACTCAGGGACTTGCCTTATGAGACCCTACTTGCAATGCACAGAAAGCTTAAAGGAGGGCGACAAAGTCTACCGCAATTACGGCCTAAGAAAAGTGGCTGGAATCGAGACAGTCTAATTAATCAAGTGAGGAAAACAATTGAAAAGATGCTTTCAGAACTTTCAATAGGTGATGAACTGCAGGAGCCATTAACCAAAGCCATGGCAGTAGTAGGCTTATCGCTGAAGTTGATACCAGGTTTTCATAATTCCACCATAACAGAGTTTCACCAATTCTCACCAGAAATAAAGATATTGCAGGATGAGATATCTAGGGCTATTTGGTTGGTTAAAACAAAGATTTGAATATCAGAGCTGAAGAACTTAAAGACTCTGTTAGATCCAAATGCAAAAGTATCAAACAGGAGTTTGCGAACAGCAATTAGGAAAATGCTAACTGAATATCTTTTCGATTGTGGTGATATGGATACTATTCCCAAGGCATTATTAGAAACTCTTGTTGTTATCAACAAGAATTCACAAAGTAAACCGCATAGACGCATCACAAAAGATGAGCAAAAATGCTCCTAATTGATTAATGGTCTTAAATACAGGAATTAAATTTGCCAAATTGAAAACATATTGACTAAATTAGCTAACGTGATAAACCTAATGGACTATTTTGATATCAAAACCAAAATATAAAAGTTGAAGTAAAAAGAAATTAATGTATGACAATGGTAGAATAGGAAAGAGAAATAACAAAAAAGAAAGAAAAAAAAAGAGAGAACATTTTACCAATATTTACTGCTGTGGGGTCAAAGCCACCAATTTCCCAATTGATTAGCCAAAGCCGAGAGGTTCGGCTCATTAAGCGGCTCCTAAAACCCTAACCCTAAAAGAAAATCCCCGACGGGTTCGGGCCGGGTATGGTAATTGGGTCCCGTCCCCGAACCTGCCCCGAAATATATATTTCTAATTTTAATTAATATATATCTTAAAAGCCTTAAAACATTTTTGTGATGGAGGCATGGGGTTTCGAACCCAAGACCTCCTTTAGAACCCAACAGCTTACCTTACCACTACTCCACCAAGGGCTCGTTTGGTACAAAGGACTGTCTTGGCATGGACTATGATCAGGGACTGTCCTGGATTGGCTTGGGTTCTTCTCTCTCTGCATCTCATTCTTTTCTTCTTCCTCCTGTGACTTGCTTCTTCTTCCTCATCCTTTTTCTCCTTCTCCTCTTCTTCTCTTCTTCTTCTCCATCCTCTCTCCTTTGCCTCTTCTTCTCAGTATATGTTTCTCTTTGGTTTTCTTTTTAAATTTTTTCTATTTGCTTTTTTTTTTCCCCAAATTTTTTTTATGTTCCTTTTTTTTTTCCCCGAAAATTTTCTCTTTGCTTCTTCTCAATATACTTTGTCTTCTACTTCTCCCTCTGCTTGCACAGTCATCATCATCTCACATTCACCATCGTTGCACAATCGCCGTGTCCACAACCTATAGTTCAAGCTGCGAAGTCGTTATCTCCAATTGGTGCTCGCCGAAACTGACTGGAATTGACTGCGATGCTGTATTGGGGTCACTGCGTATGGCTGTGACAGTGGGGGTTTGGATTGGTTGCAGATGCTTGGGTGGTCGATGGTTGTGGAAGGCGCTTGGGTAGTCGATGGTTGCGGCAAGGGCTTGGCTGTTGCAAGCGCTTGGGTTGGGACTAGCTTGTCCCCCCTCTCCACGCGGGTCTCACTAAGAACACCTAAGGAGGTGTTTTTGGTGGGGCAGTATTAACAGTCCCACTTAAAACTAGAACTAAGTGAAAACAAACATGGGATAAAAATTTGTCTAGTCCAGTCCAAGCTTAGAAGGTGTACCAAACGAGCCCCAAGTGTCCTTGTGTTATAGAGAAATAAATAATTAATTAGAACCTTAAATGTCAACATCCACATTTCCTTTTCACAAGGGGAAAGGGATAACACTTGATCATATTCATCATGTTTTAGTTATTAATTAATTGTTAGTATAAGCAATTTTAATATTATAAATCACACACTGCATCTGCACTGATGATGACTAGAAAAATAAAAGGGTATCATTCTTGATGTTTATTGGCTAACAGTGCTCTAGCTACCCAGAAATGCCATGTGAACAGTCAATGATTCCTACAATTAATGCCATAATAAATTAACATTTCACAATTAGAGACGAATAATAAAACCAAACATATGGTATACTTCACAGAGAAAACAAATACAAGCTTTCAAATAACTAGTGTGGCCTGCAAGTACTTTATTTTTCTTTTTAATTCTGGAGGTAGCTTAGCTGCCATGGCATTAGACCTAGAGTTTTCTTTATAATGGTGGACCATGTGTTGCTTAGGGAGAAGTGGTGAACAGTCGAGGCCTTGGCATGTAAGACGACAGTCCTGGAATCTTTAATTTCTGGTAAAAAGATCAAACTCGATCTCAAATCAAATAGCCACTCCACTGGGAAATTTCTTGTGTTTGTTTGTAGTTATTTGATAACAATCATTTTCGTCACAAAATTAAAATTCATAATTAAACTTTTGTTATTGATATTTGATAATGAAAATTATTAACAACTATTGGCTCTGACCAAACAAAAAAGAAGAAAAGGTAAGTGGTTAAGAGCATTTGATTTACCTCTGTACCCAAGGTCGCGTGTTTGAATAATCTCCTCCAATATCGTTTGTATAAAAATAAAAAAATACAATAAAAACCACCAACCATTGATTCTTGTATTTTTGTTTGTTTGGACCTCGGACCATTTATAATAGCTAAGGCCATCTACATAGGTCCAGTTTGTTGTGTTATTAGTAAACGAGGCCCATAAGAAGGAACCGGGTCAAGTTGAGGGAACCCTAGATCCGAATAGATGGCTGGCTCTCAAGTCGTCATCCAACTCTAGTGGAGATCGCAGTGTCCCAAGTCTGAGACGGAGAAAGAAAGAAAGGAGGAGAAATGACGGTGTTTCACTTCTTCAACTGCGCGATTCTGACGTTTGGCCCTCACGCCGTCTACTACTCCGCCACCCCCCTGTATGCCCCACTAACTCTTCTCTTTTACTTATTTCTATATCTATTCGGATCTTATGCTCTCATAAATCATATCCAATTCAGTTCATCTTCTTTTCCAAATCAAACCCTAATCAATTACATGATTTACTTGTGCAGATCGGAGTACGATACACTTGGGACCTCTGTCAAAGCAGCTCTTGTTTATCTGGGAACAGCTTTAGTGAAGGTTCGTTAGTGTTCATAGTCAATAACAAAGGAGCTATACGTATAAAATCACGTTCTAGTAATTTTCATCTTGTGCCAATGGGGCAAAGCTTCCTAACACTTCCAGCAATGGCTGCTAATTGTTTTTCATTGTTAATTCTATGTTCTGCAGCTCGTTTGTCTGGCCACTTTTCTGAAGGTATCCGACAATGAAAGCTTCGATCCATATCAGGTACTTGGGTCTTTGATTTTAGTTGAAATGTATATTTCCTTATAGAAATCTCCACATTTCAATAAGTCCATGCTACTTGCCACGCTTGATTTGGCTTGTTTGGAATTGAAAACATTTACTTTTCTTTCTCTCGTGGATTGTGGTTTTGACTGTGAGTGTAACCAACAACGTATTAATGCATATCTTTGTATTCAGGAATTTTTGAAAGCTCTGATTGGTTTTATAGACGTTGCTGGCCAAAATATGATATCACTAACAAAGTTTAAAGCAATATTTTGCTCTTTCTTTATCCTTGAGCTTCCTTATGTTTGACAATGTTTATTGTTCAAACGGCAGATGCAGTGAAAGTTGCTGCTGGAGTTTCTCTTGCCGATACAGAAGGTTTCAATTTATTTGGATTTAATCAAAGGTTTTTGTTTATGTGGAGGGAAGAAGAACCATATCCATATACAATTTTGGTGTTAAGAAGAGAAAGAAAAAGAACAAAAATAATGAGACTTTAACAATATTCACAAAAAATATATGTATTTTTTCCTTTAAAAATCGGGGATTCGGGGCGGTTATGGGAAATGGTCTCCCGACGGGTACGGGGCGGGGATTCCCCGAACCCTATTAAACGGGGATGGAGGCGGGGACGGGGAAGGGTTTGGGAATCGGGGTCGGGGATGGTATTGGCAAACCCGGACCATACCCGGCCCATTGCCATCCCTATACACTTTCTAATCCTCCTGCCCTCTCTCTCAGACATCAATGGCAAGATCGCAGCTTATGGAGAACTTGGGGTTTTACCAGACGGATTGTGAGTCCCTCTGGTCACAAATTAAACGCCAAGAGAAGCAGATACAGCTCAAAAGGAGGTCATTCAAATATTTCTTTTCTCCTTTTTGCTTACCAATTTTCCATTAATGAGTTCCTGAATCCTGATTGTGTGTGAATTATGACAATTTCGCTCTTCTTTTTGTCCCCAATTTTATTTTGATTGTTTTGAGGGTGATGTTAACGTTATGTTATTGATTGATTGATTGATTTTTTTATTTAATTTTCTGTGACGCGTTGATGAAATCCGTGCAGGTGGTTGTTGGGGCTTCCTACTTCCAAATCTGAGCAGAAGAAGTTGGAGAGGAGTGAGTTCTTGAACAACATGTGTTTGCCAGAATCGTTTCTTAGGGAAGACGATGTAAGTTAATTTCTCATCTCCGTTAATGTGTTCGATTTGAAAGAATATTTTATGTAATTCGTGCATTTCGTAGCCATGGAATATGAATATTTTGGGTTATCAACAATTTAGGAATCTAGAAATGTCACCTTGTCTCAAGTTTTAAAGTTTGGATGGCAGTCACAGTTGAATCTTAAAAATGCCATATGCTCTTTTTCTTTAATGATTTAAATTATCACATTGATAATAATCATAATTGCGCATGGAAGTGTGTGCAAAGTAGGCAACCACTTGCTATGAACGCTTCACTTTTCAAGGTTATGCATAGACAACAAACAAACCCCTGGAAGTTACCCACTGAAGCTATGCATATACAGCTATCTTCTTTATTTTTGAGTTTCCTTTAAAAGCTGGAGCTTTTTATCAAAAGAAAAAAAGTTTGAGCTTGATCCCAATGCCGGCCCTCAGGTGGCGAGGGCCGCAAAATTTTGGTCGATATTTATCTGTCTTCCTTCGTATTATTTTTATATTATACGCGAAAGTTCTATTTGCAGTGCAGATGGTGTTTCTGCTTATTTTTTAGAAACGGGGCTCGTGTTTGAGTCTTATCAATGACATGTTGGCTGGTTTTTCAGTTTTTGAGGAATTGTTGTTAGCAGCCAAACCGTTTCTCTTGCCATTTGTAACTAAATACTTTCCAATTACCATTTTATCCAGTTACAGAATAGTAGTCCTTGATGCTCCTAGTTGTCGATTGTCAGAGGAACCTTTCTGCTTGGATGAAGCAACAAGGTCTCTAAAACCAAAGAATGATTACATGTAAGCATGGATAATTGTGAGTCATGATTTCACATTATCATTTGCCCGTTCTCGGCATTTCATTTTTTATTAGCAAGTTCTCAAATGTGAAGTTCAGTTTTTCTTGTGCTATTTTGGTGTAAAACGAAAAATTAACCATATTATAGGATTTTGTCCCTTATTGAAAAAGTTTTCACCAATGTAACCAATTGAGTAGTGGTGACCGTGTTTACAACTCCCTTGATGACTTTTTCATTTTTACTTTGATTAGCTTAGGAATAAATGCTTGAATATTTGAGCTAGTTTTGATACATTAGAGTTGAGTTAGATGTCGATCTATTATGCATGCTGTCATTTAATTTTTAGAACTTTAATGCTTTTCATCATGCAGTAGGAAGAGAAAATTATATAGGGGCATCTGGACCATAGAATCAATGCAATGACACATTTAAATAGTCTTAAGCATAATACCTATAATTTCAAAGTAATAATTTTGCTCGGAATTGTAATAGAGAATTCAGTATGCTATGCATCAGTACTTTATACTTTCATTCTTCAACAAATTAACATGCATGCTTAATATGATTTCGTTCGACACAGTCAACTGGTTGCATTAAGGTACTACTAAAATTTGGTTAAGCAGTTTTGGTTTGATATATTATATATTATATGTGTATACATACATATATACATATATATATATATATATATATATATATATATATATATATATATATATATATATATATATATATATATATATATATATATATATATATATATATATATATATATATATATATATATATATATATATATATATATATATATATATATATATATATATATATATATATATATATATATATATATATATATATATATATATATATATATATATATATATATATATATATATATATATATATATATATATATATATATATATATATATATATATATATATATATATATATATATATATATATATATATATATATATATATATATATATATATATATATATATATATATATATATATATATATATATATATATATATATATATATATATATATATATATATATATATATATATATATATATATATATATATATATATATATATATATATATATATATATATATATATATATATATATATATATATATATATATATATATATATATATATATATATATATATATATATATATATATATATATATATATATATATATATATTGGTGTTTTTAACAAAAGCACTGCTGATTAAGTGTTTCATAAAGAAGCATTCCCAGGCAGGATCTTAGTTGTCTTCTGTGTTTCTTCTGCCATGCTTGTGTTGCTCTCGCATCATGCTGAAACTGTTTGATTAAAATATATTTTCTTGAATATAGTAATGATCAACTCAAAATATCTGTCTTGCAGATGTTCTATGAGACTGTAAAATCTTCTGTTGACACAGCTTTTGGAGCATGTGATATTGAAGGAGGGAATCGAGTATTTCAAGATGATATGAACTTGCTTGACGCACCCTATGTATCCGGAGCCTTGTCATCATGCCTTGATGATTTGACTAACAAGGGTCTTTACCTTTTTGCTGTTATACTAACAGGACGCTCAGTGAAGTTTGAGAAAACTCGTTGGAAGATGAAAAGGGTTATCAGAGAATTTCTTCCAAAAGTTTTTGGAAGACAGGATAATCATGATGATAAAATGGAAATATCTAAACAGATATCTCAACTTCTCAATGACCCACAATATTTCCAGGATAATTTTATCACATTTTCGTCCTCCAGATTACAATCTCATCATGCTGCTGTTAGAAAGGTGCTGGATGGACTCAGGGACTTGTCTTATGAGACCCTACTTGCAATGCACAGAAAGCTTAAAGGAGGGCGACAAAGTCTACCGCAATTACGGCCTAAGAAAAGTGGCTGGAATCGAGACAGTCTAATTAATCAAGTGAGGAAAACAATTGAAAAGATGCTTTCAGAACTTTCAATAGGTGATGAACTGCAGGAGCCATTAACCAAAGCCATGGCAGTAGTAGGCTTATCGCTGAAGTTGATACCAGGTTTTCATAATTCCACCATAACAGAGTTTCACCAATTCTCACCAGAAATAAAGATATTGCAGGATGAGATATCTAGGGCTATTTGGTTGGTTAAAACAAAGATTAGAATACCAGAGCTGAAGAACTTAAAGACTCTGTTAGACCCAAATGCTAAAGTATCAAACAGGAGTTTGCGAACAGCAATTAGGAAAATGCTAACTGAATATCTTTTCGATTGTGGTGATATGGATACCATTCCCAAGGCATTATTAGAAACTCTTGTTGTTATCAACAAGAATTCACAAAGTAAACCGCATAGACGCATCACAAAAGATGAAATTGAAGCAGAGGTAGAATGTATACTGAATGTGAGTGCTCAGGTAAAGCAGATTGTTTGGGATTTGTCTCCTGACCATGACTTGGATTTAGATTTTGATGACGCATATATGGAAGAAATGGAGGAATGTGATGATGATGATGATAAGCCTAATGGTGATGATAATGGCAATAATGGTCGGCTAGAGAAAGATGGATTATGTGGAAGTGATAGATCTCATTCTAATGATTTGTTTTATGAAGCTGAAAGTACCGCGGAGTCAATGCCATTTGTTTGCAAGCCACCTACTGCTGAAACTACCAGAAATGACTGTTATCCTCTCCTTACACCTAACAAAAGTGTACTTGTCGAGGGGCTGGAACCCATGTTCTCCACTCAAGGAGATTCTGTTGACTCCAGTAGTATCAAAAGAGGGTTAGATGGTAATTCTATTGAAAGACATGAACCTGAATGTAATACTGGAATGAACACAGAAAACCTGCTGCATCTCAAGCCAGAAGATACACATGAGAAACAAACCACTTGTAAAAACAAATACCTCGCAGTTCAAGAAGTTTGTGATGAGACAAGCATAATTGCCTATAATCTCATTGGTCGCGTGTTGGAGGAGTTTGCAAAGACAGAAGGTTTGGATTTAGACTGGGATGATACTCTGTATCTCAGAGGTGATTGTGCAACTCAAGAAGGTATCTGAACTATCTTTTCTTGTTCTTGGTATTTTTCCTTTTTCCTTCTCTCATATCATATGGAGTGAATTGAAGAAAAAAGAAATCCATCATTCGCAATAAGTTTTCTCTGTAACTTCTTTACGAAACTCTAATACTAATCACATATTAGTTTTTTCTTTCTTTGTTATTTGTGTAAAGTCCCCTTGTATTGGAGTGTAAAGTTACCAGTCCCAAATTATCAGGATTTTACCTGCTCTCATTAATTATAATATTGCCATAAGAGATTGTGGCTTTTTCAAGTTGGACTCCTGTTAATTCTAGTAGTTAGGTTTCACATGATTGGGATTCAGTATATCTCAGTCTGTTTGCATTATACATGCATGAGCAATTCCGAAAGTTTAAAGATGGCGTTTGTCAGTGTAAGTTGAGTCATCTCCACGGTGTAAGATCACTATGGAGTGTGGACATAGGGCAATTCAACAGAAAATAAAGAAGTGAATGTTTTACACCATTTTTTTGGGCAGAATACATGTACTTTCTTAAGTTTTGATATACATGAATTATTAACTGTATCTGATGTCTAGTAAATATATGCCTATGCTTTTCTTGTTTCAGTGGTATCCTATATCCTAACGGAAGATGGTAAACTGAACATCATTTGGGTAAATTGTTTGCTAAATGTCAACTAGTAATTAGTAATTTACTAGATTTGTTTGGTGATCGTTCTCTGCATATAATTAGAAGCATCATATTAATGTTTGCAGAACGAGTATTAATGGTCCAGCCATCTCTAGTTTTACTTGATTCTTTAGCATTTGTTCTTAGTTTTCTTGTATTAGTAAAAATTAAAAATGGCTTAGATGGGCCTTTTTCCTTTGTTTTGATTTTCTTTTGTGCTTGAAAGACACTTAATTTTATCAAAATTTCCCCCAAATAAAATGGTACATTGTTTTACTTTTTATTTTCATTATTATTATTATAATCATTTTAGTGAGAACTGAACTTCTTTTTCACCCATGACAGTGGTAGAAGAAAAGCAGACACTGTCTCACGAAAACGATGATGGTTCTATAATTGTTCGAGTAGTTGAGGAAATAGTACCTTCTTTTCCAAAGAGGTAGTGCTTCCCTTTTCTGGATACTCTCAACTTTGCTTTATACATTGAGATTTCTTATGAGGCTGTAGTAGCATCTAACAGTATTCGTTGCATGTGGTCCTGAATATGTAAAATAGAGGACATGTAGAAGCTTAAAACAAAAATTTGTTAAAAACCTTTGATATTTGTGTTGATAACACATTTTTTACTGTATATGCAGTGCATTAGAAGCATTAAGGAGGTTGGTGGGCCTACTATAGCATCTTGTGAGGCTTTCGTGGTCAATTTTCAGAGGACTCCAGAAGAATATGCTAAAATGCTTTCACATCTATCCTCAAGCTTGTACTGCAGTTTTTTTTCCTGTCCTTTTCTTTCCATTCTGGCAGGATTGAAGTGTGAGCTGAAAGAAGGTGCTTAGCTCTACAACGAGTGGGAAATTAATATGGACTGGCCCTTTCTTCTTCGTCATTGGTGGCAGAGTAGGTCTTGTGTGGGGATTCGACTGCTTGTTGATCACGGAAGAAGGCCAGTCACCAGTCCAGTTGGAAATTTGAGCTTTAACGAGATGATTGGAACTACATAGGTGCTTGCATGTGCACAGATCTGAAAATTTTGATGGAAGTTAATTAATGGTTTGTCCCGTGACTCTTATCCACACTAAAGTAATTTCTGTAGCTGGCCCAGGGAACCATCAATGTGGAACTCTCATGTCATTTTTAGTTCATTCACTCTTTGTTTGCTTATGCTTTTATGCAAATAATCATGTGATCACCTGAAAATCATGTGCATTAGGCAGGAAGATAGAAATACGTGAGCAAGAATGTAATGATTATTTTGACATACAAATTAACTGTTTTCTGCTCTCCACTGCAGTGGAAATGGAAGATCGATGATGTTAATGGGTTATAATGGCATCTTTTGTGGCTTTGATAATCAATTTCAGAGTGCCTAGAAAGCTTTCCCTTCTCGTTGAGGCTTTGTATGACGTTAAGGTGTCGTACAGGGAGGAAAGTCACTGATCCAAATCTTGCCAGCCTGAGCTTCCTTCGAATTTACATCCACGTGATTGCATGTCTGTTAGTGCCTGGCCTTGTAGCTCGGCCATACCGGCAACCTTCCATAGGTGGTAATCTTTTTCTTTTTTCGCGTGTCTTTATACTGAGAACCTTTCTTATGTAACTAATATTTCTTTAATTACTGGTGCAAATATTCTATAATGCGCTGAAATTATGTCCATAATAAGCAGTAATCAGTTCCTAAAAATTTCAATTGTATGTTCTAACCGTTGGGTGAGAATATAAAGGCCTACTTTTGTGTTTTATTGTATAAGTGGGTTGATCTTGAAAGTATGTATTGCATTCGCAGCCACTCATCTTATTCTTGTAGGATTTACTAGTGAAGCAGTAACTTCTCTCTGGTAATGTCCATTGTCCTCTTTTCGAATGTGCTTAGCTTGCTCCCCAGTTATCATGACAAAATATAGTCCAGCCGAAATACTGTCGTATTTCACGTGCGAATGGTGTTAACATCTATATTTAGAGTGTATGTGTGCCCTTCCGATTGTCGTATTTATTCTTGGAGCGGAAGTGTATCAAATTCGCATGTTTGTGCTTGGAGCAGTAGTATATGTGCCTTGAAATGGTAACATTGTGCTTTAAATGGTAAGGTACTAGTTTATGGACCCAATCTAACACTCCAAATGATGTGAAAGTGAGGTATAAACCCTAAAACGGTAACATTGTGCTTTAAGTGGTAATGTACTAGTCTATGGACCCGATCTAGCACTCCAAATGATGTGAAGGTGAGGTCTAAACCCTAAACCATAAACCATAAACCCTAAAGCGTGTACACACCAAGTATAACACTGCACTGAAGGAAAACCGAAGCAAGTAACCCGAGCTTAATTTCCAAGAGCAGAGAATTTACGGCTAGTCATCTAATGAGCCATTAACAATTTGGCAGGAGCTGCAAAAGATTACATGACACCACACCAACATTCATATTGGCACTTGTGTTCACTCAAATTCTGGGCGGAAGAGATTCCTTTCTCCTTTTCTGTTTCTCTAAATGCAAGCAAGACTCACAGGTCAAGCAAAATGACACTGTTTTGGATGAACCTTATAGGGTTTTGTTTTAACTCCCAGTATCCTCAATACAAATCTAGCTAGCTCCCCGAGCGATCAAAACGCTAAACAAGAATAGCAATACATAGTTGTAGCAATTACTTCATCAGTTGAATATTAAAAAATTAAGATTAATCCCTACGGCATTATAGTTGTATGTGTGTGAGAAATCCCCGTCCATGTAGTTTAGATTATCATTTGTGATAAATAAAAAAAAAAGATTAAATATAGTTTAATATATTTTTGATTTAGATTTAAATTATCTCTGATATTAAAATAAATAAATAAAGCATTATCATGATTCATTCAAGACAAAAATTAATTCCAAAAAATGAGCCATCCGAACACGAAAACAATATGCCGTCCCTACATCTCATCCAGTACAAACATCACACTTGTCAGACTCATAGTCAATCGTCCAACCGAGCCACACCGTAAACCCGCCCAGGTTACCCAACCACCACGCTTCATATCGCACGCAAAAATGGCAAAAATCTTAATTTTGAAACAAACAAAATTTAAAAAATAATTCAAAATAAATGAATAAATAAATAAGGAAAAATAGAAAATTGCAGCGCTGCAAGTCCAATTCCAAGAAACTTCTCATCCGCTCTCACTAGTAAACCAGCAGCCCCATTCTTCGTTTGACCACCGCATAATCTCTCTCTCTCTCTCTCTCTCTCTCTCTCTCTCTCTTTCTCTTTCTCTTGCCCTAGAGCCCTACTGTGTCATTTGTGGACTGTTCTTCTCTCTGTTTCAGTCCAAGCCTCTCTCTCTCTCTCTCTCTCTCTGTGTGTTGGTTTTGATCCAGACGAACAGAGAAGTAAAGTTAACTTTTTGATTGATTTATTGTTCAACTTCATCGTTTTACTTTTCTTTGAGGGTTTTTATTTTTTTGGGGGGCGAAGCGATGGGCTCAGAGGACGATCCGGAGATGCTTTTTCGCAACGGTCGCTTCTGCGCGCCCGGGTTTCGGTTCCATCCCACAGACGAGGAACTCGTCGTCTACTATCTGAAGCGCAAAATCTGCAAGAAAAGGCTCAAGTTGAATGTCATCGCCGAGACCGACGTCTATAAGTGGGACCCTGAGGAACTTCCTGGTATGGGTTTATGGTTATGGGAAGTCTTCGTTGATTATGTGATTTGGGGTTTTGATCGTTGCGTTACTTGGATATGTGGGTTTGTTTGTGTTTTGGTTTTGGAATCGGTTTTGTGCGAATCTTATTTTTGTTTGGATGATTGGTTGCGGTAACAAGTGAGAGTCCCGATCCCACGGTCAACCGTTTGGATCAAAGTCCAATTTTTGGCATTAATTCTTAAACCCTAATCTTAACTTTTTGGATAAAAATCCAACCTTTGGTGATCATGTCATCGAAGTTTCTGTAGTTTTTTTTTATATTGCTTTGCTTTTGACGTGTTTTGTATTGGCTGATTGGTTTTGGAGTATCTTTTGTTTGGTTGAGTGGATTTGGCTCTGTCGGATTTGTTTGGTTGCCTACAATTGGTGAGATACTTTGGTTACGTTTAATGGGTTTGGTTAACAGGGTTTTTGTTTAGTTTCAGTTTTGTTGTTTGGACACATACTTCTCCGAATTTGCAGCGTCCTATTATGATATTTGTATGATCTGATCAAATGAACTAGTTTAGTATCAGCAGTTTGTGCTATAATACACATATATGTAGGAGTAAAGTATTTTAATATATGTTCTAGCCCTTGGTTTTTAAATATCTAGGTTTTAACATGCAAGTAAATGGTATGTTTCTTATTGATTGTAGGCTTATCTACCTAAACACTCATTTATTTGTGTGTGTGTGTGTGGACGGCATGTGTTTAAGTTACTAGAATGTCTTCTTTTGCTTTGTTTCAGCAATTAAGTGGATTTATTTAAGATAGTTTTATAATTGCCTCTCTGTTTTAAAATGTTGGCTTGGTTTCAGCGTAAGCAATTTTATCAATATGCTAATTTATGCTGTATGTATTCAATAACTGGTTTTGCTCTCTTAATTTTTTATGCTTGAGTTCACAGTTTTTGTTGATTGCATTTTTGGTTACTAACTATTGAAAGTGATATGATATGCAGGATTATCCCTATTGAAAACTGGTGACAGGCAATGGTTCTTTTTCAGTCCAAGAGATCGGAAATACCCTAATGGGGGAAGATCAAACAGGGCGACTAGACATGGGTATTGGAAAGCTACAGGAAAGGATCGTAACATTACATGTTATTCGCGGTCTGTTGGATTGAAGAAGACCTTAGTGTATTATAAAGGCCGCGCACCTAGTGGGGAGCGCACTGACTGGGTGATGCACGAGTATACCTTGGATGAGGAAGAGCTCAAGAGATGCCGGAATGTACAGGTATTAGTTGGAACAGCTTCTCTTTCAATATTTTATTGAATTTCTTCTATATTTCTGCAAATTGAAGTCTAAAATGATGTCCTTTTTGTTTTCCCTTCTTTTAGGAATATTATGCTCTCTATAAGGTTTACAAAAAAAGTGGACCTGGTCCCAAAAATGGAGAGCAATATGGGGCGCCATTTAGAGAGGAAGAATGGGCTGATGATGAATTACCTGTAGTCAATAGCTCTGCTGATCGTCAAATCCCAGTGAAGCAATCTGTAGATGTTATTTCTGTTGATCCTGTGAAAGTTAATGGTGAAGTCCATTCTGCACTAAGTGACATCGAGGAGTTCATGAAACAGATTGCTGATGAGGCTGTGCTTGAGCTGCCACAAATGAATGGTTACGCTTATACCATACCTCAGGTTGGTAATCTGTCTCTCCTTACTCTTACTCTCACTTTTGTTTTCTTGCAGTGGTAGTTATTTATTGTTATTGACTATTAGATTTGTAGTATACTGTGTGGCAATCTTTGGTTAAACTTAATTCCAGCTTGTTGTACACAAGGGGGCCTGTGCCATATTTGGCAAACATGGCTGAAATAAGATTGTTTCTACCTTAGATCAGAGGTGGTGGATCTGGTTTAGACGTTATCTTAATAGTCATCGCAATTGGTATTTTAGTGTTAAAGCTGACTGAAATATGATTGCATAAATAAGAAAAATTAGGCTTTAAATTATTTTGCATTTTTGTAGTCTTGCGTGCACTCAGTCTCTGTCATGGAGAACATATAATAAATTTTATGCAATTTCATTATGCAGGCTGTGAGTGAAGAAGAGACCCAAAGTGCTGTGGTTGATCTGTACTCCAGGGAAGTTGTCTGTCCAGAACCTAACACAATGTTTAATCCAAGTGATCACCAATGCAATCTGCAGGCAAGCTTTGACTTCACACAGTCAGATACATCCCAAATACAACTGTACGAGGCATCTGAAGTCACCACATCTGCTCCTGAAATTCATGAGCAGGGCCCTCCCATTCTTCGTGAGGAGGATTTCTTGGAGATGGATGATCTCCTTGGTCCTGAACCTACTATTTCAAACATTGAGAATCCCGTGGATAACTTGCAGTTTGAAGGGATAGATGGATTAAGTGAATTTGACTTGTATCATGATGCAGCCATGTTTTTTCATGACATGGGGCCTTTTGATCAAGGAACAGTTTCTCATCAGCAGTACATGAATTCACTGGGGAATAATATTGTAGGTCAGTTTGAATATCAGGTACAGCCCAATCCACCAGCTGAAAACCAAGTTAACCATCAGCTGAATCCTGAATCAACTCAGATGAACAATCAGCTGTGGACACATACTGAAAGAGCAGAACCAAATCAGGGATTTCTCTCGTATTCAACCTCAGGTACATATATCAATGGAGATGAATTGTCGATGCTTTTGCACATCTATTATTAAGTGCATGCCTTCAGCTTCGAGAGCTCTTCTAGAAGTATTCTTCTAATGTATCGTTGATTTCAGTGATTGGCATGACTAACTTGTTATATGTTTCCATTCCCTTTGCTCCTTTGTGGTACATTGGAATGTCCGACTGATCTTCTTTAAATCTTCTTATTAGTAGTCACTAATATAGGTAGTTCCTATCTGGTGTTGTTTAGGTGTGGTATATGAACCTTCAAATTTTGCTTCCCAAGCAAATCAAAATCAAAGCGGCAATGAGGCTGCTGGTGGTCCAAGTCAGTTCTCTTCTGCTCTATGGGCCTT